AAGAGCTTTCTCAAGCACTTTTATTTTTCACTGGTTTGTTTATTTGCATTAATTTGTGGTGGGTTCTCCCTCCCTTAAAACTTTCATACAAAGGTACCTTAAAAATAATGTGTCGGTTTAGAGTTCAGAGGCACTGCAAAAGTGAGTAGCGGTACCGAGCATTCGGTCAATAGTTCTGATGGCACACGGCGTGTGCTGGGCATACAGAGGCAAGCAGCCCTCCGTCTCGGATCGGAGAGGACGCTCCATGTGTCGCCCGAGGACGTGTGCTCTGCAGGGGGGGGGGCGAGTGGCTCCCGGGGGCCCAGCCCCCCAGGGGTCCGACGGAGTGGGCTGGGGGGCCATGGGGCAGACACGCACCTTCGGGCGCTGCGACTCTGCAGACGTGGTCAGACACGAAGGACGCTCTCTTTCTCCCTCCCCTCTTTTTCCCCATGAGGTGTTAATTAGAAGCACGCTGTCCGGCCAGCCGCGCGCCCGCCACGCCGCTCGCCAGGGCTGCTTCTGAGCAGGAAGTCCAGAGCTTAGGACTTCCTATGAGTCTCCCAGGTTTTTCTGCTGGTGTCACCGTGCTGCCTTCGGCACAGCAGGAAGGGGAAACAAAAACTTTTGAATTTTTTTGTGATGAGTTTTCACTGCCGCTCAGGGTGCTCAGTCAGCAGGCAGCATGATTAATGCGGGCGTCCCAGGCGCTGTGAGCTGCCTGCCGGGGCCGCTCGCCGCAGTCGTTCCTGGCACCCCTGTCTCACCTTGCCCTATATATTTTTATTCCAAGTACCATGACGCTTGCTCCGTCACTTTTTAAAGTGCCAGACAAAGGAGGGGGAAGCAGGAGCTGAGCATCTCCTTGCAGTAGGCCTGCGCTAAATCCTGCTGTTCGCTTAAGCCAGCGCGTGTCCACAGAGACAGCACATCTGCCCGGGGGGTGCCTGGCGTGCGCCTGGGACACCTCGGGAGGAGCGGTCGTGTTTGACCCTTGGCCGCGCCAGAAGGCACAGTCTTGGGTTCTCTGTGGCTGCGGCGTGCAGAACAGATACACAGAAAAACTTTCACAGGAGGGGAAGCCTGGCGGTGTTGGAAGTGCTGGGAATTTGGTGGAATCCTGAGCTGCAGAAAGCACAAGGTCCTCCCGTGATGCTTTCAGCTCCTGGTGTCCCGCCAAAGCAGCGCTCAGTATTCCGCCTGGTGGGAAGTTGTGTGGGGCCGCTCTGTCGGGACTGACTCGATATACTGGGAGATGGTATTGCAAGGGAGACTGATCGGATTGTAACCCCTGGGTTTATACAAACATTGACCATTAGGGATTTAATTCTCCAGCATCTTTTCAGGACAGATTGCCAGTCATCTGAAATCAGTACTGTGTCACCAGCGTTTCCCAGGCAGGTGGTTTGTGCCGAGTCTCCCCTTGCGGAAGCCTTGTCGATACGGAGGAGATGCTTCAGTTGCCCCAGGTCTGTTCCGGAACAGCACTCTGTACAGCCGCTTGCGTACAGGAAGATAACGTGAGCAGATACGCTGGAGTTAATTGGCTTTGTAAGGGGGGTGGAAGAGAAAGTATTTACTGGGGGGGGAGTTATTTTGAATTACTTTCTGAAAAATTGGCATAAAATTCATGGACTGTTCTTTTTTTCATCTGTCATTAATACTAAAATTTCCTTCCTCGGGGGCAGATAGAGATCGTTACAAATGGATTGATAGGGTTCTTTGAGAAGCCAGCTTGTTTTGTAAAGCAATTAAGAGGAGTAATAAGATGGTATCAGTGTGCTGAATGGCAAAGTCGAGGCTGTGCTGCTTTACGGGTTACAGCACGTTGGCAAAGCAGTAAATGAGCTGCGTGCTGTTGCACATAAAGGATCTGGGGATGCGGAACTAAGCAGTTTTGCCACGGGGAGCTGGCTGACGCTCTCCAGGTCAGGCCCGCCTGGTGCACGCAGGATCTTTGTTTCCTTCTGGACCATACAAAGAAACTGGATCAGCAGCAGTCCTAGGAGAATCTCAATGAAATGACAAATTCCAGGAAGAGTTGCCTTACCGAATGCGTGCTACTCCACAATGCACGTCCCTACATCTCCGAGACAGCATATTCTCTGTGCAGCACTATTGTCAAGTCCCACTGATTAATACGAATTCTGGGGACTAGTTTTCTGTTAATCTAGCCAGAGCCCCAGGGTTTCCACAGCTAAACCTGCTTCAGAGGGCAGTTGATATTCCTGCAGTCGCCGCAGACTGGAAACTGATACTCTGTGGTTTCCAGCAACTGAACTGCTCTAGAAAATCAGTCGGTTGAGTTTTCCGTATGTCTGATTGGTTTTCCTGTTGATGTGATGGCAAACAGAGAACCTCGGCACGGAGCTGCTGGGAAGGCCTTGCCTTGCTGGCCTTGCCCGCTGTTGCTGCAGCGCCTGACGGTGCTGCCCGTCTGCTGCAGGGGGGTAATTCTGCCCCCTTAAATACAGAATACTGACACTAGAGAGAGGGCTACCCTTCGCTCCAGTAGCATTTTTTTCTTCAGTAAAGTGCCTGTTCACAAGGCAAATGTGGGAATGTGCTCTGCAGATGGGGAGCGAGCTGCGGGTCGGCTGGTAGTTGCCGACAGGGAACAATCTGGGGTCTTGCCCGGTGTTTAAATCAGGCTGCTGGGTCCGGGGAGGGGGGGAAGGCTGCTCCGCCGTGCGCTGCGGGGCTCTGGGCCGCGTCTGCGG